TTTATATTATTATACACATAGGTACTCAGATTTTATATACATATTTCTTTTATTGAATTATTCGAGTTTATAATTAATCTAATTTTTCAGGTTTTCAGTTTTGCTTTTTAAGTTTTGCAATTTTTCAATTCAATCATTGTCCGAGCCACCACTTATCAATTACTCGGTCTCTTCAATTACTTCAATTCCGCAATTGTTCGATACCTGAATTTCCTAATCCCTCGATTTCTCACTTCGTTTACCAATCAATTCCTCCGCTTCCCGAGCCCCTCCTTCGATTCTTCTCTCGTTCAGCTCATCGAAGGGCCCCCCGAACGTCTCATCTCCTCCGTCCTCCAATTTTTGGAGTCCTCCATCGCCGCTCGGAACTTGTGAAATAGTTCGCGCGCGAAATTTATATCCACCCAGCTCGGTCGGTAATTAGATTCTTATATCACGAGAAGTTTTTGAGCAGGCGTCATCCTATTAAGCCCGTCGGAACGTTTCTCGTTCCCCGGTGTCGTTGACTCCCACGAGCGATTGGAGAACCGTCTTTTTTCTCCATTTTCTTTTTCCTTTTTTCTTCTTTCTCTGTTCCACTCGACCCGGGCTCCGTATACAGCGGTCCCCTTATTTTTCCCCCCCGTTTTTATTATTCAACGAACGATAACGTGTCGCGTTTGCTTTCTTTGAAAATAGTACCAAGCCACGGGACTCGGGCCCTATCCTCCGCCATTTTTTGCCCAGACTCACCGTCATGTTTGCATTACGATTGTTCTCCCGAGAAGTCAGAGACTCGGCCTGCGAAAGTCAAGCGGAATATCCTCGTAACGATATCGAATATTCGTCGCGTAACTCAACGGTGCCGTTTACACCTTTTTCGCTACCTCGTTGATCGGTAAACGAATTTTCGCTGTTTGTTTTTTTTTTTTTTTTATCGTCGTAGAGGAGGTGCTAGGAGAGCTGTTTGCTATTTTATGCATGCCAGAATTTTTAAACGGCGAATGCAACACCTGTAGCTCCCGGCATAGGGAAATCGAAGGTCCGTGTAGAGGGAGTGCGGGTTGCTCATAGGGACCCTAGCCTCGCCGGCCGCCATTTTTTGCCTCGTCTCGCTGTAATCGTCTTACGATTATTCTTTTTCTCTTTTTTAACAATTTACTAAATCAACTCCTGGAAATAAAATAAAATTTCTGTGCCAGGATCGTGAATATTTTTCTCGTCCCATTTTTTTAAATTATTTCGCTGATCGTCGAAAAGAATTTTGACTTTCTTTTTTCACGGAATGAGAAGTCTCGAGAGAATCTTTTATTATTTTATGAGCGAATAAATTTTTGTACGTTAAATACAGTACGCGCAGTTTCTGGGATAGACGTGGGAGGAGTGGGGGTGGCTCATAGGGACCCTAGCTTCGTCGTCCGCCATTTTTTGCCTCGCCTCATGATATTTGCATTACGATTGTCCTCTTGAGAAGTTAGAAACTTGGAAAATAAAGTTGAATATCTGCATAACGATCATGAATATTCGTCGCAGTTTCTCAACTGTCTCGTTGGTCGTCCAAAAATATTTTCCCCCTTTCTTTCTCTCTTTCTGTTCGTGCACGTACTTGCTTTGATAAGGGGACGTTTGCTGTTTTATACTTGCAAGGACTTTTGCATGCCGAATGCAACACGTGTAGCTGTTGGAAAATCGAAGGTCCATGTGGAAGGGGCTGTTCGTAGGGAACTGATACTCTGGGAAAAGTTCTGTTTTCGGGTAACGTGTTTAGCGAGTTTACGCGAGTCACGGGCAGAAGTTGCATTGAAATCAAAGTTTCGCAACTACGGGCTCGTGCAACTGTAGAAAATAATCTCGAAGTCTTGGGAAAAAGTAGTCGAACGTTACTTCAAAGAAAAGAGATGGAATATTGGATTTCTTTATCCTGAAATTGACTCGATAGCTCGGATTCGAAGTTCCTTTACGAATTTTTCACATTTTAGGTATAATACACGATATTTGTCTTCGCCTTTGATTCTCCCACTTTTGTCTCGAAACTTCGTAACCTCCGACAACTCGTTCTCAACCCTTCATCTCCGAATGACGATCGAACCCTTCATTGGGAAATACTTATCCATCATAGGGGACAAGTAAATTCGTCAGAAAATTTAAACTCTTTGCACTAGATTGTTCCATCAGGGGGACATCGTAAATCAATTAAACCATTCGAATGTTCTCTCTAGGACACGAAAAGGCTATCGATACTCAGTTATATAAGATAAAATTGCATTAAAATTATATGGGTGTTTTTTAATGAGATTTTATGCGAAATATCGTTTAATAGTAATCCAATATCTTCTAAAATTTTAATTTATAATAATACCGCGTAATAAAATTAATTTTTGTCAGAATTGCTTGCTAATTTATCGCAGAATATAATTTCAGTTTCCTAACATTTAATCCTTTTTCAGTGATATCATGATATCACGATATTTATTAGATCAAATGCCAAGTATATTATGGCAAAAAATCACTGCTTTTGATATCTTTTAATTTACACAATTTTCCAAATAATAAATTTATTACACTACATTATTTATTGTAACATATACTCTGTGCTTGGTTACTCTCTGACTAGTAACATTACGTCTATAAATGGCTAACAACGAGGCCCGCGAAATGAGAATTAGACCTCTAAATATATTCCTCAAGACCCTCCAACTTGACCTCGGCCACTTCGTCACACATTTCTTCTACTACCACGATTCTGAAAATTCGATAACATAAATACACTCTTGGTCTCTTCGACTGCCCAATTCTCGAAATTCGCGTCCAAATCCATCGTTTTTCCTCCTCCTCGTGTCCCTCGAATCCTGCAGCGTAAATCGAACAATAAACACTCGAAGCTCGGAAGAAACTCGATGCAGGGAGGAGCGGGACGTTGAAGTGGGCACGGGGGTCAGAATCTTGCGGACGATAAAGATAAATCGCGCCACGGGGCAAAGGGGACGCGGTGGCCATTGGACGGTCCGTTTCCAGGCCATCTCGCGATGCACTCGGTTGCGTCACCACGCGGGGAAACTTCGGCCGCCACGCGGCGCTACCGTCGCGGCGCCTCGTTCATTGTATTAAGCCGTACGTCGGTTTTTACGGGGGCGAATTGCGCCATCGGGTGGCGTCGTTGCTTCGGCAATTTATGAGTCGTAAATTTCGTTAGATACCGCTCGAATCTTTGCACACGCGAGCTGGGGGTAGGGGGTTGGTACAGTTGTGGTTCTTCATCGATTC